TAACCAGAGTTCCAAATGGATTTTAGAGCTGAAGGCCCCAAGATTCAGGGCTTCCTGTACCACTCGCCTGGCTTCACAGGAGCACTTCTGGCACCGAAGGCAACACTGCCGCATCAGTTCAGGGTGTTGATGGGCTGCAGTTGCATTTAGCAAGAAAGACGATTCATAAAAATGCAGTAGTTTGTGTCTGCAATGGCCTCGCTCCCTTTGCCCTTCAAAGGGACTGCTCTACGTTTTGACATTTAAGGAACACTCTCTGCGTTATCTTCCCCTTCTAAAGCACCAGCTCCATTTCCCCAGCACAAGCTTTCTTTGCCTCTGGACTATTGTGCATTGAACCAGGGAAGTCTCATCTGCTAAACACCTGAAATAGGCATTTGACTTCCAAATATTCAGACATGCTGGACAGCTTTACCAGTGGTTTCTTTGGTTTAACTGCTAATTTGGCATTGCAAGTAACATATGTCCCCTGCAGTCACTGCAACGTGACTACACAACCAGGCACAGAGCTGTAAGCTAAATTCTGCCAGCAAGTAAACTTTGCATTGCTGCCACTTCATTTCTTTGTTCAGACAGGWGAGACTTTGTGCTGCTGCACACACCGGTATTACGGGGCCCTGGCTGCATTACAGGCACAGGCTTCCACGGTGGCTAGAGTTTTCCCAAGGATTTTGCTGTTTCTCACTGTGTTCAAAACACCAATGCCCTGTGCCAGAAACACGCACAAAGAGAAACTCTTACAGATCTGCTGCAGGCGTGTGCAGTCAGCGCAAGACTTTGGGAGGTGACCTGGACAAATGCAGCTCACTCCATAGTTTAAGGGTGGGTAAAGCCTTTGATACCAGCTGACAGGCACCCCATTCCCCATTCCTTACATCTCCTCCTCGTCTCCGTATCCATCGGTGGTTTTATCTTATACTAAATCTAAAGGTCAGGAGCTAAGGATGGTCCTTGGTGCTGCCTGCTGCTTCCTGCAGCGTCTYGCTGGCTGTGACCTCAGGCTCTGCGTCCCAAAGCAGCACGTGGCTCTGCACTGGCCTGGACTGGAAAAGAGAACAAGCAGACGGACTGTTTTCAAGCTAACATTCACACCTGCTGAACAGCCAAATTTTGCCACATTTTAAAATGTACACACCTTGGGAGATTAAAATAGGAAAGTGGACTCAGGTTTTAGTACTTGAAAATTTTATTTTCTCAAATGAGCACCAACACATATTGTAAATATGACAAACAAAACGCCTCCCTCTAATACTGAAGAACTATATACAATGTACAAATACATGAAAAGGTGAAAACCGATTATCTGAAAACAAACAATTGCATTTATTACTGAAGCAAATGACCTGAAAGAATATGCCAAAAATAAAATTAAAATAAGATCAAAGAAATAAAAGTATACACAATTTGTAAACACAAGAGCATCGACAGACAGGCTGGTATTGGAAATATCATCCTTTAGTTTTGTCAGTGGGGAAAGCATTCCCATATCCGAAGGAAGAACAAAACAAAGGATACATATAGTTCATAACTATGAGAATAGCTTATTTGTGATTGTACCTTACACAATGCCATTCTGCTTGCATTTAAATATGTTGATTTTTTAATTCAATATGATTTTTGTTTCCCCTCTGCTGTTTATTCTTTTTAAACAGGATTCTTCCAAATCTATGCCTAACATTATTGTTTCTGAGCATTCAATTTCAGAGGCCTCTCACCTGGTGAGCAGAGCTCTCGTCCACCGCGTTGAGCTCTGGTTCTTGAAAACCTGTTTCCCCAACCGCGTGTTTGCATCTCGCCTATTCCTCCAAGAACTGGCTCACACTGAAACATGATGCTCCTTCCAAAAGGAGGAAGTGCAGTGAAATGCATGATTAACACTTTCACATACCAGTTAGAAAAATGCATACAGAGAAAATTCTTATTTATCACAAGAACAACAAATTTCATCTGTAGGGTATTTTTTAATATATATATATATATATATTTTATTTTTTTAATTGTGTGCACCAGAACAGAAAATTAAAGAGCGTGCAACAGTTATTCAGCACTGAAAACATCTCCTTGCTCAGCAAAACAGTCCAATGGTTTGTGCTGTTGGTCCACTTTGGGATAAACAAGAGACCCACTGAATTAAAAACGAAGAGTGGGGAGAATGGGGGAGATTAAAGACAGAAAGAAAAAAGAAAAAAAAAATAACGTTTACTGCCAGAGGTAAACTTTTACTCTGATTTGTTTCTAGCCCGGTTTCAAAACAGAACAAAAACCAGGATCCTTGTCCAAAGATCTTTTTAGTTTAAAAGCAATGACTAGTTAGAGATCTCCATCCTCCATCCCTGCTGCCCCCAAGCAACTGGAAATAGAGATGCAGAGGTTGCAAGCTTATATTCACTGTATCCTAAGCGTCGAGATCTACCTCACTCCAGCCAATACTGGTGCAAGAGAAACACGCAGGCCCAGACCCTAGGCCGGGCTCTCCTCGGCCGAGCGGGACCTGCGCAGAGACCACGGGGCTCCCTGTGGGGCCGGCAGCTCCCACGGGATCACCCTGTGGCCGGGACCTCGGGCACTGGCTGAGGCGGCTGCTGGGCCCGGAGCTGCGTGCCCAGCCCCACGTGCTGCTCCCACCGGCCTCCGCAGGAGCCCAGATCCAACGGGCACCACCAGGAGCCACCCCTCCTGCCACGGCCAGGGGAAAAATGGGTTCGCTTTAGAGGACAACATATATTAGCAATTTTGTTTCCCTTTAAACATATTTTTTCCAACAAATACAGAAGGAAACAGTATCACTTAYAGACAACGAAAAGTGCTCTCAGGGAGGGGCTCTGAGAAAACAGCACCAAATATATTATTTTTTTAAAAAAATTAAATATTATTTACAAAAGTATATTTCACAAGATAATGCTTTTTTTTTCCTTTATATATATTATCATCTCAATATTTATTACAGGGATCAGGATTTCACACCAGACAACCCACCAGAGCTGAAGTTTAGAACTCCCTGAAGTCTGAGCTTTGGAGCGATGGGAGGGAGGAGCCAGCGCGGTCGCCGCTCTCATCCTGGAGGCTGCCGGCCCGGGAGCAGCAYCCACGGAGCCCGAGGTCCCTCCCGGCTCTCAGTGCTGGCCAGAGGGACACGGACATCCCGGCTCTTTGGTTTTGCTCTGAATATATCACTTTATGAGCCACCTATTTGGACTGCACTGGCTGCGCCACCCTGAGCTCCTCATTCTGCTTCCAACTCCTGATACTGCTGTGTGTCTTGACAGAGCGAGTCACGGAGGAGTTAGCAGCGGACTAAGAAGTACTTTAAGTTTAATGGACACAAAGCAGAGAACAAATGGCAAATGAGCCTCAAAGGCCATTATTTTTTCTCATCTCCCTGTACAGTGCATTAAAGCCTATTTTGGGTAACTATATATAAAGTCTCTCTATAGATAGGTAGGTATATCTATACTCGCAGCGTGCATGGACACTCAGAGGCACTCACTTTTTTTAGCTCAGGACTTGAGGACAGATTCTTAGCAAGTGTAAATCTGCAGACACTGACAGGACAAAGCCAATTAGTACCAGATTAAAAGGCTGCCATATTTAAATTTGCACTGGTTGCCATTAAAAACGTCACCCCTGCGAACAGTTAAAAACAGCCCCGTTGATGGAGCGTCATCATTTTAGGTCCCAAATATAAAAACATCTGTATCTGACAGCGCTCTGTGGTCTCCTTTCCTATTTCTCAGCGCAGCCCTCCAGGCAGACCTGCTTGCTCATCAGGACCAATGTAACATTACCAATATAAAATCATGAGCCCAGCACTGTTTGTCAACCTCATATTAATGATTTGGCTTTATCCCTTAATTCTTTCAGGTCCCATCAGATGCCTTTATAGGCTACACATTTGGGGAATTGAAGAGCTCTCCAAAGAGTTCGGGTGATTCCCACCAGGCACAACTCAATAGACTCTCGTGGCTCAAGAACTGGGGGACAGGAAAATGGGCCTGGGGCAGTGCCAAAGTCCACAACCAATTGGTATCTCAGGGGCTTTGATTTTTACCAGATTTTTATGGGAGAAGGGAGTCTGGACGATGGCGATAGTCTATCAGAACCTGAAGCGACTCTGCAGAAGCCACCTCCTAACTGCTTGCCACAAAATGAGCTAATCTTCCCCGTTTCTGCAGACCCAGGCAGCCTCCAGCTCACTATTCAAGGGCAAGACAACTCCTTGTCACAAGAACGGTGATTCAAGGGAACAAAGAGTCACTGCGCAGACGGGCCATGGGGTTTGGGTCTCAGCACGAGGCCCCAACATGGAAAGTTGGCCCAATGTGTAGGTAGCCTCTCTGCTCACACCTGGTCCGGGTAACWGCAACGTGACACAGACTCTCCACCCCAATCTCAGTAGCTTCCTACAAATATCCTGGATGTGGGGACAGCGGTAATAGGCTACAACTCCAAAGCTCTGGTTTCATAAGGAGTTACAAACCCCTGCACAACGCTCTTTCCTTCTGGATTAAGATTTTTGCCCAGCGGATTAACCTACTTGAAAGAATTCCACAAACAAAAAGAAAATTCACTCAAAGAGATAAAACTAATTCACTTAAATAGTCTTGAGTTATGCACCAGATACTGGCTGGACTGTTGCAGAGCAAACTTCACATTGTCGTTTATGCCAAACACAGCTCCCCTGTCGCACACAACACCCCTTCCCCACACACCACCTTGGCAAGGTCCATACTAACGAACATGAAAACTTCCAACGGGAAGGACTTGTCCCTTACGGTTACAACACCCAAACCTGTCCCTCCCCTTTAACTCCAAGGCATAAAAATTTCAGGGGTAGGGGAAAGATGTTCGGTTTTGTTTCCCACGCCCCCATGTCTGCAACAGGCTCTGAGGGGTGGGAAAAGTGGTGATTCTTTTTTTTTTTTTTTTTTGAGGGGTAGAGGGGATACCTCATGGCTTGAAATATCCACCTACGCAATTCTGCTACAACTGGCAGGGTCCTCTGCTCCCTCCTCTCCCCACTGTCACATCATTTCTTTCCCAGGCTCCAAGAGTGGAGCTGATAGCTGGCGCCTGAGATTTAAAGGAAAAAAAAAAAGAAAAAAAAAAGACACTGTAACAGCAATTATCTACTTGCATTTGCAAAGAATTGGTAAAACACTCCCAAAGATGCTCAATAAAGGCTGGGAGATCAAGGGGATGTATCTTATGCCACTAAGTTTGTCTCCAACCTCCCCTAAACGATTTCCCCTTCCTTGCCTCACACATGACTTCGTTTTCTGTCCTGTCTTCTAAGTTGCAGTTCCAGCCCCTTCTGCCTTAAAGGTTTTTCTCCTCCTCTCTCACGGGCTCAAGAGTCAGGATTTGGTTTCTCCAGCTGCGGATGCTCCCACAGCCGTGCTCTGTTGGGGGGGCTGGCCAACCTACTCTGAAACAGAGAGAAAAATGAGAGGGGAGGGATCTCTGCAGCCATCAGGTCTCCCCTTCCTCCCCCAGATGAGGTTCACACAGGGCGAACAAAACACCGGGGCCCCGGCCGTGACTTGCGCTCAGCCGCCTTAGATGAAGGCCCCCCTTTTGGAGCCATGGATTTAAGATTCGGAGCGAACGCCGCCGCCGCCGCGAGGTATATTTCTGTCCATTCAGACAAGCAAAGAATTTCAAGCCTTGGTTAACCAGGACTTAAAGGAGAAGCACAGTTTCACTTCGGACGACTTCCCTTGTGGCCCGCTCCCCACCCCCTTTCACCTTCTCCTGCCCAAAACTYGGGTCTTCCTCTCGCACCGAGACCTTCTGACAAAACGCCACCACAGAGCCAGCTTGGGTTTGTACTTAAGCGCTCGTCAACATGGAATGGCTGTCGGGCATTCGGTGCATTCTCTTAGCCAACGCCAGAACAGAGAGAGAAGCAGCCAGGGTCAACTCACAAACAGGTACAAAGCAAAGAGACAGAGAGACAGAAATTTAGAGGCCAGTCACCAATAAAGATGGAGAAGGGTGTGAAGATGCTCCCAAACTGCAGAGCCTCTAAATGCATGGAACCAAGCGTTCAGTCACTCTCTCACTCTTGGATATAATGTTCGGTTGGATGGCATTCTCTTACACGCTGGAAGGGCTGGGCTCTTCCCATTCAATCCCAGCCGTTATCCTTGATCATGTGAGCTAGTTCAATGATGTATTTGCCTTCTTTATACTTCTGGCTGCTTTCAAAAGCATGTTCCTAAAAAGAAGAACAACGATGATGGTGCCTGGAGGTTTACATAATATAAACTCACAGCTACAGACTGTATCCAGATACGAGGTTTAGCTTGGGTGGGAGATTTGTCTAAGAGGCAAAAACACAAACAAGTATTTACTGCTAGCTTGGGGAAAATTAGCTTTGGAAGAATCTTAAACTTGGATTCTAGTTGAACCCTCAGCCCGCAAGAGTTGGGCTCTTTTAAACTGCAGTCACTTTCCGCCTAATAGTCTGTAGTGATTTTTCATAAGAATGACACACATAATGCAGCTGAAAGAATGTAATCCTATTGCTGGAGAGATTTGTGCTCACTCCTGCATTTATGCAAAGCTGTGCTTTGGTTTTATAATAAACTCAATTTTATATTTAACTTCCATTTATAATATCCATATTGTGTTTCTGCAGGGATTCCTACTGCACTATTTTTTTGGTCCTTTATTTTTCTCTTCTTTATAATTAGGCAGTTGAAAGGTCACTGATACAATAAATGTTTTGCTTAAACACTGGTCAGACTGTTTTGAACAAACAAGCATGCTGTGTGTCTCCTGAAGCAGAAATTAGAATACAGCATAAGCCTTTGTTTGAAAGTAATTGAATTTATGAAGAGCAAGAGACAGCAAACAGATAAACTCATGTTAAATAGCATTTCCAATGGGAAGGATACAGGATTAACAAGGCATAGATCATTCTATGACTCTGAGATGATCTGGATAAGAAGACAGTGTGAAYATCAAGAATTGAGTGATTGTTAGTACAAATGCTACTTAGTTGTATTAAGCATCATTAAGGGATGCCCATGAAAACCAGGCCCTCTGTATATACTGTTAGCAAGAGAGAACATTTGCCACAACAAGCTCTTGCTTGTGACTGCACACAGGAAACAAAGCACAGATGAAAAATGGAGATGCAGGCAGGAAAAGACATATAATCATAGACTAGAAKCCACATTTCCATACGCACACCTTCAGGAAGAGCTACAGCAAAGATGTCCACAGGAAAAACAAATGATACTCACATATTTCCAACCCAGCGTGGTTTTGCAGTTTTCACAGTAAATGTCTGCAACTGCATGTAATCCTGTTAATAACACCCGCTCTTCTGCAGGGCCACAGCCCACGTTAACTCTGGAGGAAAAGGAGAAAAGCTTCCCGTTAATGAGCATGAAGCTTCCACTTAACAGGAAAAAAAGGAAAATATAATTTTTTCAACTGATAATCCTAATGAGTTTTGAAGAAAAAATAAATATTTTAATAAACRCATTCATTTTGTATTTGAGAAAGATTTTTATTTCCAAATTGGTAAAATGGCACTTTTGTTTTTATTCTCCCAAATGGAAATGTGAAAAAGGTAACTAAATTCAACAGTTCTTCTAATACATATCTTGGCCGAAAACGTGATCTTACCAGAACTATTTTCTGAAGGGAAAACAATGGTTTATCTTTAAGCAAAAAAGTAAGTTTGTTTTGGGGCATTACATATTCTTCACGCTCWCAGAAGTTTCATTCTTTGGTCCAACTATATTCCCTTGGAAGAGAATGACTCATCTGYTAGTTCTTATTTCTCAATCTGACAACAAAAGAACCATCTTTCCTAGACTCTTATCTGAAACCTGAATGTAAAATCAACTATGAATCAGTGCTATTCCCTGCCTCCTCCTCCAACCATTTTTAGCAAGCTCCCAAGACTTGGGCAGCGCTTTTCTGTAACGAAGGAAGACAGTCCTTTTGTTTACTTATTCACAAGGGCTTTCTCAAAYCCATCCGAAAAGACGCCGAGGTGACACGCAAGCAGCTGTACTCACACGGAATTGAAGAGGTACGCTCGTCCTTGGCTGCCTTGGAAGGACTGAAAGGCAAAAAAACAGAATTCAGTGAGTTGATAGCAATGAACTTAAACGATGAGCCGTCCTCCGCAACTGCGTTAATGACCTCAGAGGGTCRTTATAGCAACTGCTGGGCACGTCTGAGAAAGGCACATCCATCCCGCGCTCCACACGCAAACAGCAGAAGGGGAAATGTCAGGAGAAGATGAGGACTGGTCGCGAGAGGGCTCGTGCTGGAGCTGCAAAGGGCACGGCTGCCACGGCTTCAACGCGTGCCCGTTTTCCAAGGCACYCTGGCAGCCTTCGGGGAAGGGCACCTGCCTCTGCCACCTGATTCTGTCGGTGCTCACACGTGGGCTCGAGTCCAGCACCCATCGCAGCAGCCAAGCTCTGTTTTTCTCTTATATCCCAGTCACGCTCCTTGTCTTCACCCTTTTGGTTCTACATAATTCACCCTCCTAAATTTCACACGATACTGCTCCACCCCAATCTATCTCAGTCTAGCTGTCAAACATTGTCTTAGATCTCTTCTCTAAAACAGATACAAAGCTTAAATACACTCACGTACGCTTCCATTTCACTGCTACACTTTCAAAACACTGTCACGGTGCTTAGCTGGAATTCCAAAGTCAGTGTATTTGCAGGCAGAAACACACTCAGAGATGCAGCCTTAACTGCAGCAAGTGCCCGCGGGCCCCAGAAGATGACACTTTGAACCAAGCCCAGCAGAACACTCCAAACATTAGGGATGCTTCCAAGTGCCAACATGTTCTGCGCACGTCACGTCTGCAACACCTTCCACACCACCCTGTGACAGCGTCTCGCCTACAAGTGCTGGCTCACACCCACGACACRCGGTACCTGCAGGGTGACGTTTGACAAGCGTGTGCTCAAGGAGGCCGCCGCTGCTCACGGGCACGGCTGCTCGCTGCACACAAGCTGCTCCACGTGATACCTCTGCTAGCACCGCCAGGAAGCCTCGGCCCTTCCCGGCACAGGGTTGTCCCCATCTGTAAATGGAGCTCGGGGACATGCTGGGCTCGGGCGCAGCAGCACACGGGAGCGCTCAAGTATCCAGCACCTCATGGAGAAGTGAAGTCCCCTCTGAGAAGCAGCAAGTCCAGCGGGGATTTGCACCGTTCTCTACGCTCAGATGCAGTCGGTGCTAACGAAGGGCTTCCTGCCCTCCTCTGTTGATCCACAGGCAGGTGCCGGGAGGCTGCTGCAGCCCGGCCGTCACTTGGCACCGCAACCCTGAACTCAGAGAAGAGGCCTGAGGCACCTGGATCTCTCTCTCACTCAGACAAAGCAGCTCCCGGAGGAATGCCTCTTTCCCTGGGAAAGAATTAAACAGGACATATGGCTCATGAGTGTTTGTGTACTTGCATGTATTAGAGAAGGGTTTTTTGGGTTTTTTTTTKGATCTTTCTGCAGCATTCATTACTACTAGTAGCAGCTGGGCCTACCCCAACTAGGTGTAGCCCAAGTGCTACAGAGCAAACGGCTTCGCTTCAGTGTCCTGTGTGGGAACTGAGAACYGACACAAAGCCGACTCCTTCACCTGCCCAGAAGGGAGAGCTCGGGCTAGTCCCAGGACGGGTTTTATCCCTCTAAGGCAAATGGTGCTGCCTGTCCAGGCTGCACAGAGTGCAGGGAGTCAGGAAGGACAGACCGTTGCAGGGGGACAGAGAAGCAGCTGCCACAGAAACCTGAGTGCCATTACAGCAAAACCAAAGCAGATGAAGCCTGCTAACCATCCAGCGCTCTCCAGTAAATACTTTTCCATAAACACCAAAGTGACTAAGTTTGCCAATAACAACAACCATAGGAGCAAAGTTTTTATTGGTACAGAAATAGGATTTTCCATTAGTGCTGTACAAAAGCCTGTTTTCAATAAACAACAGAACCAAACCCATCAGCTTTGTGCTGGGAGCTCCCTGGACACTGTTGTTCCAACCCACTCCCTGAGGAAAGCAGCAGCCTCTCGGAGATGCCCTTCCCTCTAGCTTAGGCCAGGGCTTTGGGCTGTCCAAGGGCAGACACTGCAAAAAAACCAAATTACTTTTGCCTAAGCAGCAGTTTTTAACATATCAGTGCTCAGGTTTCAATGCTGCTGCCTGCCATATATAATAATAATATAATAATCCATCATCAACTTTTTCTATGATTTGCCAGATGCTTAGGTAAAAGCGAGGGAGAGCTGGCAACCACCTCAAGTTGTTCCCCAGCACACTTGCTTTCCCCAGGTGAAGCTGACTGCCTTTAGAAATGTAACACAGGTAAGTCTTACCTGGGTGTTGTAGCCTCAAGCCCACCTGGAGTCATTACTTCTCTGCCATTAGAGCATGCACCAGGGGAGACAGATGTGTTTATACATAAATGGTCATTTTCTTGTTTCCTTTTTCCTTTTTTCCCCCTAAAGATATTTTTTTCCTAAAGAGATTTCCACAACACACCTGGTTTTCACTGAACAGTGACAGTCAGCAATAAAATCTACTCTCTGTGCTCTTCAGCTCCTTGATGCACATTCAAATGCGCATCTCACACACAGGCATAGAAATCCAGGCTCTAAAACAACAGCTCCTGGCATAATGTGCCGGCTGGAAGAAATGGAAAGGATTTTTGTTGTTGGTTCCCACTGGAAGCCCAAGCACATACTTTCCTCCTCGCTGCTAACATCGATTGTCTGGCTAGAAACATATTTGTATCTGCCAGCAGAACCTCCCTGCTCGTCCTGCCCGGCCCCGAGAGCCCCGGGATGCTCCGGGCACAGTCTGCTCTAACACACAGGCTCAAAACCTCTGCTGGGCTCTCCTGGGAGCTTTGCTCAGCATGGAGCACTCTCCCTGGGACATTTAGGTCTGAACCCCTATATACGCAACACCTGGGACATGGGGAGCTGCCACTCTGGCTTAGTCCAAGTGTTATATTCTGGCCTCAATTCGAAGCTCTCCATCTACCATCCTGTTTGCTTTGTGCTTTCTGAGCAGCACACGTGCCTTTCAGAGGCGTCTTCAGCACCTGGACAACTGCAGACACAGGGCACATCGCGCTGCAGCCAGCTCGTCTCACACTAAACCTGCCTTCTCCCCAGCCTCAGACCTCTGCACATTCCTTGGCTACTGGGGACTGCAGGAAATGGAAGTTTCATATGCAGTCAGTAGAGCCAGAGAAAGGTGGGAATTCTGGATGTTCTCCACGCACTCCTACCCTCCAGACCCCTTTTCCTAGGCCCAACTTCCCATTCACTCCATATTCAGCAGTTCCACGTGCTGAACAGATGACAGGATTAATGTCCCAAAGTCTTTGTGGTGGCATTTGACAATAGGCTCAACACAAAGAGAGCTGGCTGGAATCATCTGGAACACCCGGAAGCGGCTGCCAGGATGGAGCAGCCACACGGTGATGCTTGTTCTCTGCAGACTGCAGCAGAGACAACCCCCACGTACCTGTGCCCGGCCGGCAGCCTTTGCACAGGCCAATAAAACAAAAATGAAAAGGCAGCTGGTCCCAAAGGGATCCAAGGGGAAAAAAGGAACAGAGCTCAGCCCTCTGAGCTGCAAATAATTCTCAGCACAAGAATATGAACAGGATTAGAGGAATCAAAGCCTCTGCTGGAGACCAACGGGAGCTGGCATGTCCCAAGCAATGGGAAAGGCAGCACCAGGAAGAGCCAGCTGGTCACAATGCTCCGGACTTTTGAAAAGAACAGATTTTCTGCTTGTGGTATCCCCTTTGGGAGCAAGAAGTTTGGTGAATAAGAGAAAAAAATTAGGAGCAACTGTCTTTTAAAGTCACTAATGTCTGTGGGTAAAATAATCCATCCTGTGATCTATTCAGAGACAGCTCTGTTAGCTCTCACTTCCCACCTACATGCATCCCTTTTATTTTTAATTTACTAGAGTCGTTTGCAGGAGGCTGCCCGCAGGACGTGTCTAGTCCTGCTGCCGATTCAGCCCTCATTCTGAGCTTGTCATCTGTTCTAATGCAAACGCACTTTGTGGTGGGGAGATGTCCAAGTGTGACCAAAGCATGAAGTCAACCCAACTGGAGCAGGTACAAGAAGATTAGCTCCAAATCAACAGACTCTCTGAACCCAACAGATCCAACAGACTGATTCAAAGTTATCCCCATCCCTGGTCTTCAATAGGCCTGCACAAACCACTTATTTCAAGGCAGTCATTTACATTTTTTTTTCTTCTCCTAGTGCTTCTTTAAATTCTGCTTCAGTTGGGCTTGGCTCTCTGGCACTCACCGGGGTTTCTGTGCTCCCAATGCAGGCAAATAGAAGTGAGGTGAAAAATAGAGGCAGCCCATAAGATGCCAGGCTGTGTCAGTCTCAGTCATGTCTGGCCCAAAGCTGGGTTTCTCCTGTGCCTCCCAATGCATCAAAATTCTTACTCAATTTCTCGATTTGAACAGATGGGATTTCAAGAACCACCAAATTCTGTGAGGCTCACAGTGAAGCTACAGAAAGTGAGGATTTTCTTACAGGGATGCATACATTTGGATTAACCCTTGCTGCATTATTTAGACCAAAGTGAAGAAAACATACTAATATATTTAAATGACAAGTAGTTCTCAGCAACAACRCGCGCTGCCCAAAGGGCAACTCAGCAGGAGCTTTCCTAAGGAATACAGTGGACTTAACTGTTGTGAAAGAAAAAAATACAGTCAGATAAAGACTGCACTTCAGCTCCTGTCTCCTCTTTCACAGCCCTCATGACAAATTCCCCAGAGATTTTCTAGCAATATAAACTTAAGAYCATAAAAGACTCCTCCCAGTCATAGCTATAGTTTCATAACAACCTTGACTAAGCCACTGCTGTAAACAAAAATCTGCAGTGTTATCCTGGTCAGGTACACAAGGAAGCTGCAGTCTCAAAACCAGGTAATTCCTGTTCACACTGTTTGTCTACAGAACTAAAACCAAAACAATGAACCCACGCACCTCTGACCATCCTGTTTTCACTCATTCCTAATTCCTAGTTTTGGATCCAGTTTGGCAGCAGAATGGACCAAA